TTTCCCTACCCTGAGATCATGAAAATCTTCTCATATTATCCCAATGTTTGTATTTATTATCTGTCATATCTCTCCTCACCAGACTGTAAACCCTCTGAGAATAAACAAAGCTGCTGTGAACATTCGCTGAGGTGCCGGTGCAGGTGTGCCGGTGTCCTGAACAATTCCAGCACTGCATCTGATCCTTACAGCATCACTTTCCAGGAGGGGAAACTGAGTCTCAGGCCAAGCGCCATGACCAAGGAACACAGGGCTCTCAGGTTTCCATATTATGTTTTGAGGACCAGTCTTCCTCACCCGTAGAAGAGGAAATAGTCACTTGTTATTGTGAAAGAAGTGTTTGCAGAGATCTTAGCTCTGGACCTAGTTCATAACAAATCTTCAACGAAATAAAGATGAAAATATACCAGATAAAAGTGTATCTCACTCAAGCCCCTACCCCAGTTGTGATGCTCACATTCTTTCTGCCTCCCTAAGCGAACAGGGCAGACTGCAAGAGCCCTGCCCACTCCTTCCAGAGGCCAGGAGAGCACAGGACAGTTGGCAGGTAAACCTTCACCCACATGCCGGCCACCCTTTTCCTAGTAGCTCTGACTGCCACTGACTTTTCCACCAAGTGCTACCTAGCCCAGCTGTTGACCACATGGACATCTGGATCCCAGGAAGGGATCAACCCACACTCTCTCCCACATTACTAAAGGATCGAGACACGCCAAAGCACCTGCCCAAGGCCCGTGTGGCCAGGATGGCTGCTCTCCAGAGTGGGAAGGAAGCTGCCAGTTTCGATCTGCACTGATGAGGGCGGCAAACCTGGTCACTCCCTGAGGAATAGGCCACTCCCAGCCCGCCTGTTTCTTATACAAAGCCCAGTCATGAAGGCCACTGACTTTATTGATTTAAAAAACTTTACAAGGACAGTGACTGTTCTGCCAGAAAGAGGGCCAAACGGCATAAAACAGACCAGAGGTGGGAGCAGGGGGGGCAGGGACAGGGCCAGGAATCACTCAGAAAAGCTGGTAACTGCTGTCACGAAACTGGCAGGGAAAGGAGAAGGGGGATGCATGCAAGGATAAGAATTCCAAAAAAGTTGAAATGGTGAGGGGAGAGAACTCCCAAAAGACCCTGGAGTACATGGGACGTGCGCATGACAACTGCAATCTTTTCCTTTGTAGAGGACGGGGGAGGAGTCCTCACTTGGCTGCAAACTCTGGAGACTCAGTGCTGGGGCTCGGGGTCGGGGGCTCCCCAGAGAGCATCACAAGAACGCGTCGCACCACTCTCGAAGGCACCCGAAGCAGTCCCGGGACTGCTTGGCGTTCGCACCGCATGTGTCCTTCAGCCATTCCCGGAAAAGATCTTCATCTTTCTTTAGCACCAGAAACTGACCAAGGACCACATAGGCCTGCAAGACGGGCAAAGCAAAAGGCGGGCTGCTGAGCGCTCTGTGGGACTAAGACAAGAAGGCCACTTTCGTGCCGCTCCCAGCACAGGAACCCAGGAGACGGGGCAGGCTCCAGCCTGCGGGCTCTGCAGATCTCACACCACCGCCCATCCCCAACAGGGACACGCACTCTCCTCACTCCCCAGCTGCGGGGAAGCACTGTAGTCGGCCACCCCCGGCTCTCCCTGGCTGCACGCAGCCGCCCCACACCTTGTCAAAGCCCCTTTCCTCCAGCTTCTTGCCCAGGACTTCGCCAATCCCGGCCAGGCTTCCCACTGGCTTTTCCCCCATGGGCTCTGCCACGAAGTCTCGGTGCTTTTGGGAGGTTGTCATCTTGATCAGGATTAATCTGGGAATCCTAAGAAAAGGGAGGTTACGGCTAAGAACCCGGGAACTCTCAAAGGCCCACTGGCAATCTCACAGTGAGAGCTAGAGCATCCGTTACGAAGGCTTTCTCGATTTCCCCCAGTTTACGGATGAGAAAACAGAACTAAGAGTCTTTTCCTCACTGTTCAAAAGAAAGGTCTCTGCCACTCCCTGCGGGAGCTGCGTTTCGGTACCGCCCCACAGGAGAAACTATCCTGCCCTAACAGGTGGACAAAGGGCGCCGCTCAGTACCCAGGGCCTATCCTAAAGCTGTCACTGCTCTGTGACCTTGGCTGGGCAAAGGCGGCACTGACCCAGACTGGAACGACCACCTGGTCCGAAAAGCAAATGAAGGACTCTCCCACCCGCCCCCCGCCCCACAGAGCGAAGGCGCAGCGGGAGCGCACACACCCGCTCAGCCAGCCCCTCAAGCTCCACGCCTCCAGCCCCCTCCGCGTCCCACGCCGCCGGGCCCGCCCCCAACGCGCCGCGCCCCGCCCCCTCCCTCTCTAGAGCCGCGGCCGAGCACGTCCGAGAGCGCATCCTCTGGCCCGTCGCAGCACTTGCGGCCCCTCCTCTCCCCCTCTTCCCCGCGCCTCCTCCGACCTCCACCCCGGGCCTTGCTCCGCGGCTCGCACTCACCCACAGCTCCGGTTCCCGTAACGGGTTCTCCCGCCACCCGGCTGCTTCCGCCGATCCCCTCGACTTGAGCTTTATTGAGTTTCTTTTGATTTGATGTCTTTCATTCTTTATGCAAAATTCTCAGCCATTATCTGCCTCTGCCCCACTCTTTCTCTTCTTGAACTTCAGTTAAGTTAGATTTCTTGCTCACACCCCGGACCTCGAGTGCGCCCTTAGTAGGCGCTCCTTTCCGGTTCCTTCGCGGGAGGTCGGGCTACCTTCTGTGGTCTCACTTCTCGGGAAGCATTTCTGGTCTCAGGGAGCAGAGGTCTGTGATAAGAAAACTTTACTTCTCTGCTGCACGGCATCCGGAACCTAAAGGACTTACCCTTGGCCGACCTGATGGTGGGAAGAGTTAGAGGGACGCACAAGGAGAGAGGCGTGGCCGGGAGACTTCCGGGAGAGCGCCGGAAGTACGGTGTGCGACTCAGGCTGACACGCGCAGTCGTCCTCGTCGTCGGGCTTGCGAGAGTCTGACGGGAACCGGAGGCGCACGAGACCTGAGTCCAAGACGACTCCACTGTCGTGACCGCCGGCAAGTTCTTTTTCTGGGCTTTCATTGGCTCAGCTGCGAAGTGAGTCGTGGACGAGTTGATCTCAGCGTCCAGCCTGGAGAGCGAGGTCTTTCAGGCAGCGCCCGTGGGATTCGAGGGCCAGAGAGTAAGTATGGGGCTTTCTCTCTGAGCGTTTTTCCTCCGGAATAGGGAGGCAGGAGGGCAGGGGGCGGCAGCTAGGGATGACACGTCGGAGTTTCCTTTGGAAGCCATCAGTCTCCTGAGTACGCATTAGTCCTTGTTTTTTCAGTACCCAAGTCAGAAACAGTAGATGTCGAAGACCAAGCCAGCCTATCCTGACCTTTAATTAACTCGTTCCTGACTTGGATTCTCCTGACTTGTCTGTGTCTGTACTGTGTTTAGAGATTGAGCATCTGTGTTGTGTGGTTGTGCTGCACCTGGGATGTACAAGCATGTTGAGGAAGAAATGGTTTATCTCACTCCTTCCCCAAGTGGTTGCCAGAATGATTTATTTTTCTAGAACACGTATTTAGTTTTTGTGGTTATGTCAGTACTTAAGAATAATACGAGTTTTTTTTTACGTGCCTCACACTGTGCTAAGTGTTTTGCTTACGATTATTTTGTTTTAATAACCGTGTTCTGAGTTAGCTACTGCTTTTTTCTGAGGTCTAGAGAAATTGAACAGCCAGGAAATAACCAAGGTAGGGTTTGAATCCAAGCAATTGGATCCCAGAGCTCATGTTCTTAACCAGGACACTGTGTCACTCCTCAGTAAAAGGCCTCTCCCCATCTTCAAAACAGTCGTGCATTCTGAGCCTGCCATCCAAGAAACTCAGGAGGAGGAGTTGATAGTCTCTGCATCCCTCACTGCCCTGGGACAGGACCCAACATGTCTCAGGCCACCAAGAGGAAGCATGTGGTGAAGGAGTTGCTGGGGGAGCACATGGTGCCCTCCGACCAACAGCAGATCGTGAGGGTAAGTGACATTGGGGACCAGCTGCTTTGCCACCGTTCTCCACTCCTGTTGGGCCCCTGCGGTGGGGGCAGGGTGCACCACAGCTCAGTGGGTGTTGGAACCGGCTGATGAGGCTGACTGGTAATTGGTCTGTCCTGGACCAGGTACTCAGGACCCCAGGGAACAATCTGCATGAGGTGGAGACAGCCGAGGGGCAGCGCTTCCTGGTGAGCATGCCCTCCAAATACCGCAAGAACATCTGGATCAAGAGAGGTGAGAGAGGCAGCCCTTTTGGAGACAGAACCGTTTCCTGTGGCCTCAGCTTCTGCCACTGCAAGCAGGACTGACTGTGCTTTTTCTCCTCTCTACCTGCAGGGGACTTTCTCATCGTTGATCCTATTGAAGAGGGAGAGAAGGTGAAGGCCGAGATCTCCTTTGTGCTCTGCAAAGACCACGTGCGCTCTCTGCAGAAGGAGGGGCTCTGGTAGGGTGGTCCCCTTGGTCACTGGCTGCCCTACTTCTCTGGAGGATTTACTTCCTAGTTGTGGATTTAGGGGAGGGAAGATCATGGCATCTCAGGCAGGAACAGCTGGAAACAGCTTTTTTGCTGAGGAGTTTTTCTGTCCTTTCTGACTTCGGCTCTTCTCTTGGCACAGGCCTGAGGCCTTCTCCGAAGTGGCTGAGAAACACAACAACCAGAACAGGTGAGGTGCAAGTCCTGGGGTAGGGAAGACAGAAAATGGGGCTTCAGACCTTGGTACCTTGAGGGGAAATAGAACCTTCCTTCATTCCTACATAGGGTCCCTGGTGAGAGCTTCTAAATTTGTGGTTAAAAGTATGATTTAAAAGTCAGATCTCCTGGGTTAAAGTTTCTGCTTTGCGAGTTATAACTGAATGACTTTAAGCAGATTAACCTGTAAAATGGGAGCTTTGTAAGGGTTAAAGAGACTAACGCTTGTAAAATTGCTGAGCATAGTATTTGGTAAGCAGTGTGGGTTCATTGAGTGTTGGTTGCAGTAGAATCATTATTATTAAAGTCAGTAGCTCTAGCAAATTTTTGAGGTGGGGGTGAGGAGGAGATAGTTTCTTGCCGCTTTTTCTTGGCCAAGTTTCCTGCAGTTCTCTCTGTGTCTGACTCGCTGAGCCCTGACTGCTTGGCCATATGGTCCTCCTTTTTGTGGGGCTTCTTGGTTTTCCCAGAAGGCCTTGGGCTAACTGTCCTTTCCCCCCACCCCGATGCAGACAGGCTCAGCCAGAACTCCCAGCTGAGCCACGGTCATCGGGAGAAGAGTCCAGCTCTGAAGGTGATGCTGACCTTTTTGTTAACACCAACCGCAGACGGTGTCATGAGAGTGAGGAGGAGAGTGAAGAAGAGGAGACAGCCTGAGACCCCGGGACCCTCTTCTCCTCCGGCTCAGGGGCTAGTCCTTGGCTCCTCTGAGCTTGGACGTGCCCAGGAGCCTCTGTGGATCTTTCCCCCTGGATGGGGACAAGGCCGGGCCCTTCTCTGAACTGACTTTCTGACATAGAATTAAACCCCTGGCGGGTGGCGACTTATGCTGGTGTCGGAGTGGCTCTTTGGAGGAAGGAGGGGCATGTGGTAAAGTTAAAAACTGCTCCTAGGTTGTGTCCTCATGGGCAGGTGGCCTGAATGGGCAGGAAATGGGAAATGGCTGGAATCTTTCCTAGTTTCTCCCTCTCTTATCGGGCACTTAGTAAGTGCCAGGCCCTGTGTGCTTCCTTGCATGTAGTTAATAACTGGGAGCATTCCCACTTCATTGCCTGCTTACAGTTAGTACTGATTCAGGAATTCAGGATCACAGTGGGACTTAGTGCCCATCTGCCTCTAAGAGACCCTCAGGATGAATTTCACAGTGCCTCGTAAGCTGTTCTCCCTGCCTTTCTAGTCGCTTGTGACTGCAGGAGCGCCCACCTCCATGCTGCTGTGTACATCCCCCGGTTGGTGGCCTCCTCATGGCTACTCAGACCATCACTCCTCAGCCCTCATGCAAACCACATCATCCCATCTCCTTGGAAGCTTTTTACCTCTGACTGTACATTCTCCCTCTTCATTGCTGGCATTCACCTTTTAGTCACTGCCCAGATGCTGAAGTTTACCTCCTGGCTTAGAGTCTTCTACTCTTGCTTCCATCATTGTTTTTCTACATCCCATGGATGGGCCCGTTCAGCGCTATGGCCACCTAGGTCCTTGATGTCCCCATCACTAATGCCCTTGTCTTCTGTTTCAGGCCTGTTGCCTATATCCGTAGTCACTCTCTGGACCCCTGACGTCACTAGAAATTGCAGCGTCATTTGAATTCAAAAACCTGTACAATCACCACCTCCAGGCCTCCTTGCTCAACTACCACCCCTCCCGCCCCCCATAGAAATTCTTTATCTTCATCTTCCAGCCCTGCCACATTCTCACCGTCATTCTCCTATCTTCACTTCATTCCCTGTGCAGCATCAATTCCGTGGTCTACACCCTGTACTCCCTTTCTTCCTCCATCGTGTTCATCTAGTAAAACCTAACCTTGGGTCAACCCAGTCATTCACCTCTGTGCCTATACGCAAGTAACTGTTAGAGAAAATAGCCAACCTGGTTCATTAGTTTTACCTTAAATTCGTAATTACAAACCTCAGATGGCCACGCAGCACTGCCTGGCAGATCTACCCTGGGATGTCGTATTAGAAAACTTTTTTTTTTTTAACCAAATCCCTCTTAGCCTGATAGTTACAGACTGCAGCTCGTTATTCATTAAGAAATAGTAACCATTGGAGGGAACTTTTACCTCTCTGTTACCAACCCTACAACTGTGCTCATGGATCTTCCTGTCATTTTACTGCCCATTGTAATCCAGTGGGACTTAAGCCTTTCCTCTCGTGCTTCGGAGCCTGTCTCTCTTTACTTAAGGAGTTTTTGTGAGTTTTGGTTTTTGTCATCCTGTGTACTGGGTATGTTAGCATCAAAGGTGCTATACGATCTCCCATCTGAAAAACAACCAGAAAAAAAACCTGTCACTGATCCCACATCCTCTCCGGCTACCACTTCATTTACCTGCTCCTCATTCACTCTTTTACGCTTGCTTAGTGTACTCTTAAATACATATATACACGTGTGTGTATGCTTATGTGTGTATATACGCACGTATAGAAATGTGTGTATATACATTCATGTGAAAAAAATTAACCGGGTAAGTTGAAGGTGTGAGTGTATTTTTAACTCATCTGAAGTTTATTTTTGTATGAAAGATGGCTAATTTTTTTCTCTAAAGGGCTAGCCACTTGTCCTTATACCATTTATTGAGTGGTTCATTCTTTGCTCACTGGTTCAAAATACCTTTTTTAAAATAAATGAAATTCCTGCATATATATGGATCTCTTTGGAATCTGGCACACTGATTGTGTGTGCACATGCCATATTTTATAGCATGATTGATAACTCATTCTCCCTCATCATTCCTTGGAATTTTCCTGTTTTCTTTTACCTAAAAACTTTAGGATGAACTGGTCATTGCATTTAAAAGTTCTGTTGCAATTTCCATTGGTGTGGTTTTAAATCTCATAGTTTGATTTGGAGAGGAGTGGTACTTAACGGTTGTTTTTGATCTTCCTATACAGAAATTAGTTATGTGTGTTCTTTTATAAGATGTTATCTTCTGGGAATTCCCTGGTGGTCCAGTGGTTAGGACTCCACACTCCCACTGCAGGGGGCACTGGTTTGATCCCTGGTTGGGGAACTAAGATCCTGCAAGCCATGCGGCCAAAAAAAAAACATGTTGTCTTCATATGGGTCTAGTTCAATGTAGTCTTAAGAATTTTAGAGCTATTTGTTGTTATCAATGGGTTCTTTTGAAAGTACATTTCCAACCATCACTGGCAGGTAGGAAAGCTGTCCATCTCTGTGCCCACCTATTTATCTAACTGAATTCTCATTAGTTTTCAGAGTTCTTCAGTTGATTCTCTTGGCTTTCTGGATAGAGTGTCAAATCATATTGTACCAGTGGCAGTTTCCTCCTGTCCTTTACACTCATTTCTTTTCCTTGTGAATTGTGGAGGCCAGGACTTCCAGTATAATGTTGAATGGCACCCTTGTTTGTTCCTCCCTTAGTGAGAATTGTTCTCATATTTCATCATGAAATATTATTCTTGCTTTGGGTTTCTGGTTGATTAAACTTCATTAGGCTGAAGATGTTTCCTTCTGTACCCAACTTACTGTTTTTTTCCTATATTCAACAGTGATGAATTTTGACATTTATGAGATAGTCAAAAGATTTTTTTTATTATTGCACTGATATACACGATTAGGTTTCCTGGTGTTGAACCATTCTCGAATTCTGATGTAAACTCTGCTTAGTTTTATATTTATTTCTTTAGGATTTTTGTGTCTATCATTGGGCCAATTTCATTTTTTATTTTAATGATTTCTGTGTCCCATTTTGACAACAGCATTATGCTAGCCTTGTAGAATGGGTTTGGAGACATTTAATCTTTTTCTTTGGACTGGAGTAATTTATAGAAAAGGAGTTGTTTTGGGACTTCCCTGGTGGCACAGTGGTTAAGAATCCTCCTGCCAGTGCAGGGGACACAGGTTCAATCCCTGGCCCAGGAAGATCCCACATGCCGCGGAGCAGCTAAGCCCGTGCGCCACAACTACTGAGCCTGTGCTCTAGAGCCTGCGAGCCGCAACTACTGAGCCCTCGTGCCACAGCTACTGAAGACCGCGGGCCTAGAGCCCATGCTTCGCAACAAGAGAAGTCCCTGCAATGAGAAGCGTGCATACCGCAACGAAGAGTAGCCCTGGCTCGCCACAACTAGAGAAAGCCTGTGTGCAGGAATGAAGACCCAATCTAGCCAAAAATAAATAAATAAATTTATTTAGAAAAAAAATTTTTTTTAAAGAAAAGGAGTTGTTTCTTCAGGGTTTGATTGAATTTTAATTATAAAATTTATGCTTGATTCCTTTTTTAAGGGTAGGTCTTTGACTGCCTTGTAATTTTTCTGTGGCATTTTATTCAAGTTTTCCATCCTTGAGTCAGTTTTGATTATTTTTTTTTAGAATTGTGTGTTTTATGTATATTTAAGCCTTTTTTGGCAAGACATCATGCATACTATTTGTATCATTTGGGACTGTCTTACTTAAAAGTGACAAAAGTCTAATTCAAACCAGCAGAAGCAAACAAGAGCTCATTGTTCTGCAGTCTCAGGACAGAGCTTTAGGCAGAGCTGACCTAGGCCAGCATAATTTCGTCAGGGCTCTCATTTATTTCTTGGGTTGTCTGTGCTCCTCTTGGTTGAGCAATCTGTTTCTCCCTATAGGTTTTTTTTCTACAGGAAGCTCCAGTTTGCACTTGGTCCTGACAGACAAAGAGTTACTTCTTCAGGATCCATGAACTTCAGGGAAGACCGACTGGTCTTGCTCTGGTCACTTGCCCTCTCCTGGCAACCACTCTGGCCAGGGCTGAGTCGGAGGAGTAAGGGGAGGCGAGATGAACCTCCCTGATCCATATGACATGTGTTTCCCAGGGAATAGAGAGGTTCTTTTACCCAAAAAGGGGGCAAGGGGTGAGAGCAGATAAAACAACAAACATTTGTGGGTTTTGTTTTGGGGAGGGTTTTTTTTTTTGGCTATACTGTGCAGCCTGTGGGATATTAGTTCCCCAACCAGGGATTGAATCCCGGGGCAGTGAGAGTGCCCCGGAGTCCTAACCACTGGACTGCCAGGGAATTCCCAAAACAACAGACGTCCTGAATTCTGTGTATTTTATTTTCTTTGACTAGCTTTGCAAGATACCTGTCTATTTTATTGGCCTTTTCCTTCTGTTTATTTGGGGTTATTTGCTCATTCTGACTTCTTGGGTTGTATGCTTAGTTAATTAATTTCAGACTTGTTTTCTAGTACATTTAGGGCTAAGACTCTTCCTTTAAGTGCTCCTTTGTTTCCTGCTTTTTTTTTTTTTTTTTTGGCTGAGCCGCATTGCTTGCGGGAATCTCATTTCTCCGACGAGGGATTGAACCCAGGCCACGGCAGTGAAAGCACTGAGTCCTAACCACTGGACCAGCAGGGAATTCCCTGTTTCCCACTTTATCGGGTGTACTTGGGTGATTTGGGGGGGGGGGCATTGTATCTAAGCTTGGCCTTCTGTTTTTCTAATAACCTCTTTTTTCTTCCTAAAACCTTTTAATCTTGACTTCTCCCTCTCTTAGCCATTTAACTCCTGGGGGTCATACCTAGGAATTCTGATGGAGGTAAAGTCCTTGTATTCTGCATACTGTTCCCCTTTGTCATTCTCCAAAGTTGAATTCCACCTCTATTCTCCCAACTTAGTAGTGGAGTCCAACCATATATGAATAGATGTCCCCGAATGAGCTGGCTTTCAGGAGCCCTCCTTCCCCAAAGCCAATGCCAGTCCATGTGATGTGTTGCCTAATAGTACTGATCCCTGCTGCAGTTAGGTTTGAGACTTGTGGCCCGTCAGACTCTGCACGTCTATCACTTTACGACCAACCTTTACAGCCAGGTCATGTCCATCTGAGACCCCCCATGCAGCCCAG